TTAAAGTACATTTCAGAAGTTTTCTATTTTTTAAGGTGACCTTTAAAAATCTTTTTTTTTTTGGCAATTTCAGGAATTTAAGCCATTAGTAGAAAGCAGTATTTTTGTACTGAATTATGCTTCTTAATTTTTTTTCTTCTCCAACCCAAGTAATTAAAAAAATTTAACTTTTTTATACATTGGTGATATTTTCCTCATAAGCTATCTCTATTCCTCTTTTGAAATGAACTATGGAATTAGATCCTTTGTGTATATGATGACAGTTTGTATCCTTTGTCTTCAATGATTCAATTAACAGCATAACTATATTACATACAATTATTCCATGATTAAAAAATCCTAGCTGGGCATGGTGGCACATGCCTACAATCCCAGCAGTTTGGGAGGCTGAAGCAGGAAGATGGAATGTTCAAAGCTAGCTTCAGCAACTTAGTGAGGCTCTAAGCAACTTAGTAAGTCCCTATCTCATAATAAAACAAAGAAACACACACAAAAAAAGGGACTGAGGGGATGTTGCTCAGTGGTTAAGTATGCCTGGATTCAATTCCTGGTAACCAAAAAGGAAAAAAAAAAGTCCTTTTTATTTTATTCAACTAAGAAAAAATTTCCCACTTAGAGATTTTCCTTATGATATAAATATAAAGCTGAGCTTCAGTTTTTTCCTTAGCCCTATTGGTTATATCAATTTTCACTGTAAATTCCTTAGGGACACAGTGTGAATCACAATAAAGCTGTTTCCTTCACTCATAGATTAGTCCTTTCTTTTGTGTCAACATAAAATAACTTATAAATGCATTTATAAATAAAATGTATTCATAAGTAAAATTGTGATATCAGTGAAAATATGTTATTTTGAAAAGATAGCCTTATATTCTAACTCATAAAGTTAAAAAACAAATAAACAAAAAACCCAGAAAGGATCATGCAGTAGAATCTGAATTTCAGTAAACGAATCCATCCTAATCTTAAAAAGGGAAGTTAGTGATCCAGTAATAACTAATATGTCTTCTCTAAGGTTTTTCTCAGTTTCACTTATCACAAGCAATGATTGTACACACACACACAAAAACAAGGTTCAAATTTAAAATATTTAGTGATAAAAAGACTTCATCAATTTATAGGTATTTCTTGAAATGTTTTTTCAGACTTCAAAATAATTATTTTTTGTTCCAGTGTGCTAAAAACAAAACAATGAGTTCTTCCTTTCTATATTTGTATAGTATTTTAATTGTTTTGTTTAAATATTCTGTACTTGTGCATTCAAGTATTTTGTTGATGTATCTTTTTTAGTTTAATTCTGACTACTTTAGGTTTTTGTATTTTGAAGTAATATGGTTAAATACATATATTTGCAGAATTATTATAGCTTTTGATTTGTTTATTTCTTCTCCAGCATGTTACTCAAATGTTTGTCTCATTTTTTCCTATAATTTATTTTTTTCTGATATTAAAATTCTTATCCTGAATTTCTTTTAGATGCATTTATCATATATGCATTTTTTATTCATGCTTTTCAAAATTTTTGCATGTTAGTTTAAAAAATTGTTTATTTGACAACATATTATTTGCTCTTCATATTTATTAACATGAAGTTTAAGAATCTGGTTTTTTTCTAGATGAATTTTAACACTTTTATACTTATTGTAGTTTTTGTAATGTTGAGGGCTACTTTTGTTTTTGTAATGTTTATATATGCTGTGTTTTTATTTGTTTTGTTTTTCTTCTTTCCCACATTCCTTTTGATAAATTAATATATTTAGTTCTGGCTCAAAAATTTTATTCTATTTTTATTCTTTCATGGTATTCTTAAGTTATACTTGTTTTTGTTTTTTCATCAATTTCTAATGTAATACTTTTTTCTCCTGTTAACTCTACCCAATATATATATATAGTATATATGGGGAATATACTATATATTCAATAAATATATTTTAATTGAGGCTTAAATGAAGGAAAATTACCTAGGCCACTTAGAACAGGCCTGACCATTAACATACATTTATTGACTTTAAGGAAGTTGGATGATTGTAGGCTATTCAGGCCTTTGCCTTTATATTGTATTTCTTTTTTCCTTATTTTTCATGCATTCATGTTTTTTTTCTTTTCTTTTGCAGTCATACTTCACTGAAAAGTGGGCACTGAGTTTCTTACAAATCTTGTTTTCCAATAGGTTGAGCTCATTTACCTACTTTCTGCTATGTAAAACTTGTTTAAAATCTTTTAACTTGTTGTTTTAAGTCTCTGTTAAAAAAGAAAAAGACCTCTGTAATCACCCTAAAGGATTAAAAAAAAAAAAAACCTTTAAAAATTTGACTTCAGTGGCTTCTACTTTGACTTACAGCGTTTTCTTGGCATCTACTAAAGGAGTTTATTAAGTGATGTCTCTATTGTGAGCTAAATTAATTTCTACTAAGAGGGCAGGAAGTGTTTAATGACTGAAATATTAAAGAGCCACTTGAGAATATCCACTCATTTTTGATCAAGAATCAAGAAACAAGAAAGAAGTAGGAAGGAGGCTCACTCCATTTTCTCATATTGAGCTTTATATTGCTTGGAAATGTTCGAAGAAAGGTAGATGTAGGAAAGATCTTCTTATGTCAGCACTGTGTCCTGCAGAATAACCCCAATAAGCTTTCCTTATTTTAAAAAAGAAGCACAGTGACCTACCTAGCCCTCAGGCATTGTACTCTTTTCATCTTTCTTTAATAATTAACATTCATAGAATAACAGATTTTAATCACTGCTCACTTCTCATAACTCACTTTTTTTTTAAAACCATTTAGAATCTGACTTTTACCCTCATTATTCTTATCACATTTGTCTTTCTCAACAGGAACACTGGTTCTTTTTGCAGCATTTGATACTCTTAATAATAAGTTTTTGCAGCATTTGATACTCTTAATTGATCTCCACATTTTTTCCTCTCTTAAGATTGAGTAATATTGTGTTTAATTTATCATCTATGACATCTTCTGGAATTTCTTCCAAACATCCTTTTTCTTTTAAGGGTCTAGTCATTTCTGTTTTTACTTTCCACGCTACAATTCCTTCTTCATAAATTTTATCTGATTCTTTGAAACACTATTTATATGGCTTTTAAAAGTTTCTATTCAGTTCTAACTCCTCCTGCTTTTGGTAGACCTAAACTTCCCAAACTTTGAATACATTAAGATTAAATTTGTTAATATTTTCATGAACATTTACATTTCATCCTATATTCCTGTTCTTTGTTAATGTTTCTAATTTGATCCCACTTGTTTAACCTCTTTAGTTTTGACTTAGGCACCAGCATCTTTACATGTGCTTTGTATCAACCTCTATTAACTGGTTTTAACTTCCCATATCATTCCCTTCTGTCTCTCCTTTTATTCTTTTTGCTGGAATAATATAAAAACTTTCTAAATAATCTTCTTGTTTTTGGCAAAATAGTCTTTAAGAGGTATAGCATCAACCAATTAATTTTGTTGCTCCTTAACTCTTGAATAGTTCCTCACTGCCTATTGACTAGCACCCAACATCCTTGGTTTAGAATCAGGGAGCCAGTACATGTTTTGTTTTGTGTTCTTCTTCTATACCCTATAGTTGCAACCAAGCTACACAAACAGCCATCCCTCATATTGCCATTCCCTATGGTTCAGTTCAAAGTCTGCACTATTAGGAATTGTTCATTGCTCTTCCTCTTTATATTACTAAGTAGCTCTCCCAATTTTAGATAATTTTATTTAACTCATTTAGTATTTTATCCATCAATGCTTAGTATTAAGAGGTGCTTACACAAATAAGCCATTTAAATTTCAAAGTAGTAGTTATTATTAAAGAAATAGGTATTTCTGCTTCCTTAAAAAAAAAAAAAAAAAAAACCCTAAACAAACAAAAACATTAGGTGAGAGAAGTTGAGGTCATGTTCACCCCACAAGGTGGGGACGCCATCTAGTGACAACTCCACCACACTACAAGACTTGCCTCAGATCTGAAGTCTATATTAATCTTCACATTGTCTTCAAGAAAGATGTCATATTCGAGTAGGAAGGATAGTAGAATGAATCAGACATTATTACTCTCTGTGCATATATGACTATACTACTGGTATGATTCTACATCATGTACAATCAGAAGAAGTAGAAGTTATACTCCATTTGTGTATGATGTGTCAAAGCACATTCTACTGTCATGAATAACTAATTAGAACAACAGCCAAAAAAAGATGTCACAAATACCTACCCCCCAATAAGATAGTGCCTTAACAAAAATATTGCATACTTATTTTTGTGTGTGTGGGATTAAACACTGTAAATTAATTAATTCATGGTTGATTATATAGATATGTTTAGAGAAATGGATGCACCTGCAATTTTCACTTGTATTAACATTAATCAGTGATGCATATGAATCCATTTTCAAAGAGGAAATTTAAAGAAGTGCCTGAAAACTTGGATAAATTTTACATAAAGTGTTAGAAATGTTTTTTTCTTGAGATAACACACTAAGTGTATTCAGCTTCGTAACAATAGTAAGTACTAGTTGATGGAAGAAGCATAGCTTCTGAGCCAGATGGTTTACTGTTAGCAACACTGTGACTTGAAGCACAATACATATTCACTCAAAATGACCATTTTCACATTTGAAAACATGGTGATAACAACATCTTTGTTATGAATATAAGGAGTGTATATACAGAATGCTTGGCCTATAGTAGGCATATAATAAATAAATGGTAGTTTGTATTTAATGATTGTTGTTAGTTTTATTTTTGATGATGTGTATAGAGACATATTTTCTTTCAATGTTGAAAAATGTTATTTGTAGAATCTCAATTTGTTTCTTTTGTAGTAAAGAGTGCAAGCATTGATGTTTATCATTAATTTCAATACCTATTGGAAAATTACATACCTATTTAGTAAATGTGTGATCAGAAAATTATAAAATAATCATTTGTATAAGCCATTAAAAGCTTATATGTGTTTTAAAAAATTCAGAATAAGTGAATATTTCATACTTACAACTTTCCAGTTGCATTATACACGTTTGTACATCCATTGGAAAATTTTTGAGATCCATTGGACAGGAAAGTGTTAATGTTAATCTGAAAGAATTCAGAGTAATTATTTTTAAAGGAAATTTATGACTTTATATTAAGATTCTGTTATTCAGAAAACACATATTGCTTTGGTAGTTACTAACATCTATTCAGATGAAATTTTCTCCAGTTTAGGTATATTATTTGCTATGAAAAAAATATGTCACTGTACATAAATCTGGATTTTTGATGGGGTCAAGTGAAGTGGATGATAGTTGTAGCTATAAAACTCTATCACATTTATTCATTTTTAAATTTGTTTAGAAATGAGTGTAGATGTATAGAAGAGGTCTAGACTTCCAGAGAGATCCCCAAAAGGAATAATTTGAGGATGGGCACTGTAAAATTAATACCCAATGCTGAAAGGTACATTTCCCCCCAAATCACATTAACAGAATATTTAAGAGGGAAATAGGAGAATTGGAGTTGTAAGTGTGGAAAAGGGGTACTCAGAGAAGCAACCCTATATGGTAGTTGTCAGTCATCTTTATAAAAACATCATGGAAGTTGTCAGAGAATATCCAAAAGTATTTAGTAGAGTGAATCTGGAGAACTTGAAAATTTAGTTAGTAGATCAGGTTCTCTGCTATGGCATTAGAGAATTTTACTAGATTTTAACAGGGTTAGGAAATAGCCCGCTAGTGTCTGTTATATTATTCTAAGTTCACCAAACAAACTTTTGATTGTACTTTACACAAATATGTAAGCATTCTGCCAATATAAAAGCTCTTGGCCCTTTTAGAGAGTACTAGTATGTTGGTATTCCAGGTAATTAATGAATTTTGAATACATTTGGTTAGGAAAGTATATTACTGAAATATATTCTGGGTTTACTAAGAATTTATATTTCCTGGATTTGAGAGAGAGGGTGGGGAGAGTTCAAGATTCAAACTCAGCATTCTACAAATGAAGTTCTTTTCTGAGAACTCTCTAAGAAGTCTCTTTTTTGAAAAATATTCTCACTGAAATTCAGGTATTAGTGAGCACCCTAGGTGGTTTAATTTACTTAAACTTTGTGCTCACAGACATAGTTATTCAACTTCTTCACATTGCAGTTTTTTCATCTCTAAAATGAAAATAATAATGGTACCTACTACAAAGAGTTACTGTGAGCAATACCTGCATTGATACTTGAAATGTGCTTAGGTAAGTGCTTGACATATAGAAGATATTTAGTAAAATATCTGTTATTAACAGTTATTAGTATATTCCATTACTCCTAGACACCTCCAGTTGCTCCTCCTGCAAATTCTAAATTGTGGGCACAAAGATAAATAAATTAAATGTAAGTACTTTTTAGGCTTTAAATAAAAATAACTAGTAACTCTACTATATATAACTTCACTCTCTAAAATGGCATTTTTATGGAGACCACAGGCATAAAATAATAATTATGTATTTTGTATAGTGAATATCTTGGTGAGTTAGGCCCAATTAGCATAATTTGGGTGACACAAATGGACAGACATGGAGTTGGTGAATTTTTAAGAGTCCCAGGAGGATCATTTGGTAATTTGAGTCACAGTCCCTAACACACTAAAATAATTTACAGAGTTTTATATTCAAAATCAGTGTTTCTCCTGCTGTAGCTTGGTTAAGGGAATTTGTAAGTAACTGAGTATATTTACAAAATTCTTGGTTAAAAGAGAATATTGTAATCTGAAGTGGACACAGTGTTCTCTGCCTAGTGAAAGAGTTTATTAGAGGAATATGCACATGAACATTTTGAAATGTGCACAGATTAATTTCCCAAATATTCAAGGCTCTTGACCAGCCAATTTCAAACATCAACTTGCAGAATTCTCTGACCTTTTGTATGGAAATAAATGGCCTTCTCAGAACCCTTTCCATTCTCTCATCATGCATGTGATGTCAAATTCATATCCTGGCTATTTTTTTGGCATAAAATGAGAGACGTTATGTAATTCTAAATTAAAAAATAACACTTGAAAAGAATTGCTTGGCAAAGCAAAACAGTTTGTAGAACTCCTATCATAAATCATATCCTGAAAAAAATCTATTTATTGACTTTTCTTTTTGTTTAAGGTATAATACAGTTGCTTCTCTAATGATGAAATGTGTCCACTTGGTGGGTGTGATACTTAATTTCTTTATCAAAACATTACATGTAAATAAAGATATGTTCTGACCACATCAAAAGAAAACTGAGTCAAGAGGCAGTTATTCATATTCTACTGTTTTGGAAATGAATGTCTTCTTGTGTAAGGAGGACACCAAGTTCTCTTTCTGAGACAAGACAGATAAACAGGATATAGTGTTTCTTATTTCCCCTTAAAAAGTCTTGGCTGCGAGAAGTAGTAATATTAAGAAAGACGACTGTCATCTGTGACAAACAATTGACGTCATTAAAATTTGATTATTCTCTATTTTTTAAAAAGCATGCCTCTAGTATGTTGTCTATCTAAACCACTAGTTGAATTTTAAAAATGTTTTTGATTTCTTTATAAACTTTTTATAAAAATAAATATTTTAATAGTGTTTTATTTCGCTTTTTTTTTTTTTAATGCTGTGACTGAAAGATCTAACCAGAACAATTTTAGGAAGAAAAGTTTATTTGGGGGCCCATGCTTTTAGAGGTCTTAGTCATTGAAGGCCAGCTCCATTCCTAAGGGCTCCAGGTAAGGCAGAACATTATGGCTGAAAAGTGTAGCAGAGGGAAGCGCTTCATATCATGGTAAGGAAGCAAAGAGAAAGACTCCACTCTCAAGATAGGAAATATATACGTGCAAAGCCATGACCCTGATGCCCAACCTTTTCAAGCCATACCCTACTATCAGGGATTAATTCACTGATTAGATTACTGATTAATGTAACTCAGTCATTCATTTCTCCTCCAAATTTTCTTCCATTGTCTCACTTGTGAACATTTGGGGGGATACCACATCTACACCATAACAAATAGTTTTCTGGTATTTCTGAATTTGGTATCAGAAATACAGTGGCCTCTTAACTAGCAATTAAATAACTTTTGAAGAATTATCTGTAGTGTTATAGTAAATTGATAAATTTGTAGTGCTTACTTTGTGATAGGCACTGTTCAAATACTTTATATATGATCACTCATTTATTCTATCCTACAAACTTACAAGATAGGTAAATGATATAACCTTTTTTTTTTTTTTTTGTAGATGAGGAATCTTAGAGGTTAAGTAACTCACTTCATTACATAGCAGAAATTGGCAAAGTAGAATTTGCAGCCCTGACGGTTTAGTTCTAGATTCCATGCTCTTAACTGTTAAGTATACTGCCTATAAAAAGCAATGGAATGTTTTACATAAAAATAGATTCTGCAATTAACATGATGTTTTAAATTTTATATACTTTTATAACATAAAATGATACAATGTATACACTATTAGTTATTAAATTTGAAGTAAGGTGTACATAAATAATTTTTCCAACATACATTTAGACAAATGTAATAGACCATAGAAAATATAAGGCATTTCTCCAGGGATTTTATATATTTGAATGATATAGTATTTGATTATGCATGCTTTTATAAATATCTCTTAGTTATTTTATAAATAACTCTTAGAAGAGATTAGATAGTTTGAACATTAAAAAAGGATATTAGAATTAGTTTCTATGAACAGTTCTGGAGTTTTGTTGTCATCTGATCTTAGAGACAAGCAAAAATCTTTTCAACCCATCACCAAAGTAATCTCAGCATTGATGATGGTCCCTTCAGGAGGCTGATGTAAGCAAGTTATGGAACTCTTCAGAAAAATAATTACACACATGCCAGATTTTCCTTATATCTACTTTGTTACATTATGAGTTCATTTTCCTTAAATAAACAGCATTTTTAAAAACATCTGTTGAAATAAGTTTGCTTTTCCATTTAAAAATCAGTATCTATTAGTGTTCAAAAAATAAATATACTTTATACAAGTAGACTTTAATTCTTTGCACAAATTTCAAAGAAATGGTTACCATAACCAAATACTTAGTTTAAATATTGTTAAATAAAGGTCAAAATTATTTTGATAAGTTGCTCTACATAGCATCTTTGACATAAACTGTCTTCTTATTTCATTTTCCAAGCACTAGTGCTTCTGTAGTATAAGTAATGAAGTTGTAACTGTTGGTTATATTAGTAAAGTTAACAAGCAGTATATATGATGCCTATGGTGTGCTTCCATTTATCTTGTGATAAGCATGCTGCCATCCTCATTTTATAAGCGATAAAACTGAGGTAGAGACAATTCAGTGCTGATTTTTGGCTCCCCAGAAAAATCAGAATTTATTTTATTTTTTGTTTCCTTTTATTTTTTAGAAAGATAAAATTTAATAACTTTAGCATCTATTATGTGCCTGGCACCATGCTGGTGTTTTACCATTTATTCTTTCAGATTCACTGTAATACATATAAGAAAAATATGAAGCTTTCAAAAGTAATTTTGATTTGCCCCAAATCACAGCTAATATCTCATAGAGCCTGGATGTGGACTGGGAGTTAAAGTCTTCCTAAGACTTCTTGTTTGCCTATACATTGCTAGGCATGCTAAGACTGCAAGGTCTTAACCATTTCATTTATTTTATTTTATTTATTTTTATTTTTTTATATTTTTACCTGAGAAGTCTCAGGTTTGCTTATTCAGATGCTTAATTCCAGAGATGAGATAACATTGTTCACTTGGACCAAGAGAAGGCTTATTTGCAGCTTGTTCTAAAAGTAGTGGGTTCTCCAAATTCACAACTATGTCCATCATTTTGACATAAACCCATTGTATGTGTTATATCCATTTAAACCTATTGTATTGTTCCAGAGACACTTGAAGACAAAGGAAAATGAGGCAAATATTTTGATATCCATTCTCCTAGCTTACAGTGACTAATAAATTGCTTTGTCTCTGACTTGATAGCCTCGTTTCTTCAGTCAGTATCCATTTAATAGTCATAGGCTGACTTTAAAATCCCAAACTTGACAATCTGGAGTCATGTGTCTGGCTACAAAGATCTAACTTGAAAATAATTTTTAT